GAATAAAGTTTCTAGGATAATTTAAAAAGCCTCAAGTGTACTACTCATCAAGATTGTCATTATGCTGAGAATGCCTCTACTTTGGGGAATACTTAATACAGATCTTTCTATAGCAAGCTTTTTGGAATAAAAACATTAGCCAACACAGATATGAAGACAAATGTAGCCTGCTTCTTTGTTTAATTGCAGTCTCCTTTAGCCGTATAGTCATGGTTTGATCTTGTTGTCGCAACTTGTTAGTATAAAAACTTGTAGAACGTACCTAGTTCTGCATCCTCTGTCATAGTATTCATGATGATTTCCAGCATCGGAACGTTGACTTGGTACATTTCCAGACATTTTGCTGGCATCGTAATCGGCATCTTCAGTGAGAGAAGTCATCCATAGCACAGAGCTACAACCTATCACGAAATGTACTTTTGACTATGATGCTGGCGAAACGTTTGAGAATGTACCAAGTCAACGCTTTGATGCTGGAAATTATCATGAATACTATGGCAGAGGGTGCAGGACCAGGCAAGTTTCATCAGGTCTCCCTGTTGCTCCGGCTAAGTTTCGAAAACGAGGTAAAACCAGCATTATCAGCCCACATAGTCGGCTGTCAGTTGAGTTTTCCCACAATGATGCCATTAAATACACTTAAAATAGCCTCGCAAATAGCTCAAAGCACACTGCTGCTTAGATCTCGCTGCAATCTCTTCGGTACTCTTAACGGTATTTGAAAGCCAACATATTCGACACCAAACTCAAATATAGTTTGAGTGTGCTAGCTTGCTTTGAGAATCACATCAGTCCTGAAGCACACTGAGACCCGTGATATTGGGGTTGAGTAAAGACGCTGTGGTTTGATGCGAAGGACTCTGTCCAGAATTCTATTGGGGTTGCGGATGTGATTTCAGTCCTCTCTGAAAGTAAGGGACTCATGGGAGGTAAGTCTAAATGAAAGGTAATGGAATATTGAGGATACCGTCTCATTTTCGATATGAGTAAGTTTTGAAACTATTGTCAACTATCAATTGTTATTCGATGCATCTCATAGTGAGAAATTTAATCATATCATACAATCTAAAGTGACTCTAATTCTCTGGACATATTCATTATGAATCAACGGAGTAAATGTGATTCACAGTCATCAATTTGCCCTTGGGTGAATTTCACAATATTATTCTTACTCTTAGTAAATGATGTGAATAGAGTGTTGGAGGCATCTTGGTCGTAGCTGATGAATCTATGGTAACGTTTTGAGACCATATTCCGTACTACCAGAGTTCGAGTCTCGCACAGGGTGCCGATGATACTTAAGAGAGCTAGAAGCTACAGTCAAACTTGAATAAGTATATCTTTTGGCTAGCAATTATATGCTAAATTCTATTGAAAATTTATTCTTAAATCTGTGTTTGTTGTACTTGATAGTCCAGCCCCGGTCCAGACTCATTATTTTAATAAATAAATCTATCTCAGGTCAAGAGATTATTATAAAGTCCACAAAAGTCCTCCAGAATCCAGTATCTAAAATTGATCTCACCATTTGAGGAACATTGGAATTTCTAACGGCATTAGCATTGCCGGTTTTCGGATGCACATAGGCTGAAAAGTCGTGAGAATGCGCTCGGATCACATAATCGAGCCACTCAAGAACATGCAGTCGTGTTGTTATAGGTCGGCAGGAGAGACGCGAACAGACGACGTAACGATTTGACTTCCGACCAACAGCCACCAGCATCGGATAATCTTTTGGCTATCGTCAAGGCAGCATGACGGATATGAGTGTAGACAATAGACAGAAAAGGAAGAGTGACATGCTACTTCCAGGTTAAAAATGCAAATGAATAGATATGTAGGGATAAAGGTAATCTAGATAGGGGGCTTGAAGTGGTATGAATGAGATGGTAAAGTATAGGAGAGATCAGGTTGGAAGACATACTATACCCATTTTTCGATTATAACTTGGTTTTAAAGACTATATATATATAAGATGTGTTCACTCTATCTCGATTAAGTGATGAAGTCTAGTAGTTTTCTTTAAAAAAATCCACAAATAGACCCTACGCCTCCATTGAATTTCACATAGTCTTGCTTTCAAAAGGTATTCTCATCCTGGCTGAAGTGAACTGCTGTTTCGACTTCGCCTTGGTCTCATCAGTACCCCGAGCAGGACTCTAAGTGCGATAGTGCAGCGTATAATATCGACACATTAACCACAACGCCACACTGTCACGAGTGCATTTGGTTCAAAGAGCAGATATGAATTCCAAAAAAAGGTCAGGTATTTTCCCATATCACATTTTGTGGTCACATTGTCGATAGAGTAAAGTTGAATTTGCTATAGTAATCGACTACATTACTTAGTTTCAGTTTATTTTATGTTTCGGAGATAGGTAATGTGAGGAAATTCAACTACAAGTCCTTCATCACTTTAACGAAATTAGGTGAATACATCTCATTTAAATGATTTGTTGGTAGTTTCAAAAACCTACTTATAAACGAAGTAGAACCAATATAATAGCTTGATTATCAACACTCCAACCACGGGACATGATATGGCAACATACCTGGTTTTCTTTGGAATTTACATCTGCCCTCGTGACAGTGTGGCATAATGGTCGAGATTATATGCTGCGCTATCACATTTCGAATCCCGCTGGGAGTACTGACGAGACCAAGACGAGGTTGAAACCGAAATCCACTCAAGCCTGGATGACAATACCTTTTTGTAATCAAGGCTATGCAAAATTCAATTAAAACGTAAGATTCACTCATATCATTGTGGGAAAATTCGACTACCAGTCCTTTATCACCTTAAAAAAACGAGCTGGATACATCTCATATACTATATCCATATTGATATTCTATGTGACCGCTATTTATGTATTCCGAGCCTCCATTCGTTCGATAGACTTGGGTTGACTTTTTTTTAATGGCTTAGTATGTAAACTCTTTTGCTCTTGACGTACGTCTCATTTAATTTGAAAATTGATGTGGAAGGGATTCGTTAATTGGCCTCACCGGAAACCGAAGTTGGACAAAAAGACCGTATGGAGCATTCCTAGTCATGCTTCCTCTGTCATACAATTCATACTAATTTCAAGCATCGAATCGATGACTTGGTACATTCTCAGACGTTTTACCGGCATCGTAGTCGGTATCTTTATTTAAAGATGTCATCATTAGTATAGATATACGACTTATCAAAGTTAAAAAGTAAGAGGATACCAGCGAAATGTCTGGGAATGCAACAGATCTGCTGTTTAACTCTGAAAATTGCCAAATATAATGACAGTCATGATAAGAGCGAGAAGTCCTCATTTAGGAAAATATGGTAACTGGCTAAAATCTCACTTGATTTTGTTTTGAAAAAGATTTCATTAGTATTATCAAATCTTGAAAAAAAACTCAGTAACCATTGTTAGCTTTAGTTTATAAAAGACAAATTGTGAATCTTCCCCAGCATCTTACTTGTTTCCTGAACTTAACTTTGCGATGATAATGAGGTATCCAGTGATTTGTTCTGCTTCTTTGTGGTTAGCTTAAATATTTGCAGATGAATTAAGGAGATGCGAAAAATAGGAGTGGAAAAGGCCGCAGCTGTTTACTTACTTAAATAAAGTAGCGTACGATTTTGCAATGTCGATGCTTATTTTAGGTTTGCGGATTCATGTTCACTGTGAGTATGCAATGAGCAATACTCATGAATCATTTCACATGTTCAAGAACAAGCCAGACTTCAGGTTAATTGAGTCTCCTCTTACTTGTTGATCCTTACCGCTCTTTCTCTCGTTTTGTAACCTTAATTCTATCCAGCAGTCACAGGCAATTCTTTCTCGATTTCCTGTTATCGTCCTCCTACCCAGAAGGTTGCTTGTTCGGTTATTTTCAATCGAGATCGTAATCTTCGTCTCCTTATCCTGCAAGACACTGGGTTTTAGACCATTATCTATTTTTTCGTGTAGCTACCATTTGTTCAGGTATGTTCGATTTCTGGACCCACTAACCCTTCCATATTATTTTTTTATTGGGATAGCCTTTTCAGTATGAAGCACCAAACTTATTAACAATCTGATCTGGAGATGGATTCTGAAGATTCTCCAGAGAGGTCAGATTTCCTGTTTTACCCTAAATAATTGTTTTCCTTCATCCTATGTCTAATTACTACGAAATTACTAGCAATCCATCCCGATTAAAAATTATTCATAACTAAAATTTGCCTAATCTGACGTGGCTGCGCCAACCCCACAAAGACCGAGTTGATCCCCATTTTCATCAGGCTTCCAGGCATCTGAAAGTTACTAAAGCAATATTTTTGATTTTATCGTCCTCTTTACTTTGATGTCCCTCCTTGAATGCTTATAATCCCTCCCAAGTTTCCCTTAAGCATAGGTTGTACATCATCCTTTACTAAAATTTATTGACACTCATAGGTATCAATATAGACGCGCTTGTTTCTTATAATGGCTAGAATGTCGACGACAAGAAAGTCTGGAGTAAAGTATCATTGGTAAAAATGTATCTTAAATTGCAATTTAGCGAAGTGGTTGCTTTATAGTATTTTTAGCTTCTAAAATACGACCGTCGAGCAGCTACTTATGACAAAAATAATACTTCTTGTATGCAGAGTTAACTTTTAGGCATTTAGTTCACTTGTTGGAAGTGCGAAAAAATCGTATAAAAACACGGTACGATCTAAAGAAGACACGAATGGATAACCTGGGTTTGCATAACATCCAGTTTATACATGCCACAACTAAGCCCTGGATCATGTTAGATGTGATTTTGATGCAACCTTAGCTCAATAGTTTCCTATCTTTCTCAAATCGCGCACTAGGATTCAATTCAGTTTTATAACTAGCAGGCAATGAGAAACGTAATTTCTAAGACATAAGTAAATTAAGTAGTTAACATGAAAAGATTAAAGAAATTGTAGTAAAATTTTAGGATAGTGAAGTGTTTCACGAATTTATGGTATCAGCTTGAGCGATTGGGGGCACAAATTTATAAGAAAATACAGTTCCATTTATAAAAATGAGCTCGAAATGAGTGACCCCAGTCCATACTGGAGGTAGGAAAACAGAATAAGGGACATTTGGAGTTGCATATTATTATGGGAAAAAGCGCTCATCTATGAGTTAGGGTTGCTTGGGGCACTAGGACCACCAGGGCCACTAGCAAAAAATATCATATTGCATATGCATTATCATAAAATTAATGTCCTGCATATTGTTAAAGAAAAATTTTTTAAGGCGATTTTGCCTTTACTTGTCATTTTCATGAGTCATAAATCGTTGTTGGAGCTGAATATTCTTTCTGAAGATGCTGACGAAACGTCTAGGGATATACTGTGTCAACGGTCCGATGCTTAAAACTATTATGAATAATATTACAAGGAAAGCAAGACGAAATTGCAAAAACGGGGTCAAATATACACATTTTACCAGGTTAGAAAATAGACTCAATCTTCAATAATAACTCGAGTCTCCACATTAGATCGCTTAAGGTGGTGTGAAGGAATTTCCAGAAGATAAATGAGTAGGAGGCCTTGTGTAAATATATATCTGCTACCCCTACATATATATATATAAATACAAATACATTTTGTTTTTAGAAGTAGATTTTTGAGACTACAAGTAGATCATATACTGAGAGGCATACACCATATTTCTCACAATGGTATGAGTATACATCATGCTTTCTTTGAATTTCACATAGCCACACAGGTGTAGTGGTTAACTTGTCATAAGTATATAGGGGATTACTAAGGTTCGAGTCTCACTGAGGAAGGGACTTATTCGAGGTCGAAATTGCAGTCCATTTCAACCATGATGTGAATATATTTTATAAAGCAAGGCTATGTGCAATTCAATGAGAACATTAAGCATAGTCATATCATTGTTAAAAAATTCAACTCCTAGTCCTTCATCGCATAAAACGAAATATGGTAAACAAATATCAAAGAAATCTTTGCCAAAACTTCTTCGTTATCAAAGTATTTTAAATCGAAATATATATTATCTTACTTATTAATACAAATATGTAACTATTGTAATTAACACTATAATTATTCATTCATATCATGAATTTCATTCAAATTGCAATTTAGTTTTATTTACTCATCAATATGTTGAATATCAAATGAGTTTGAATCTCTATCCCTAGAAGTAAGTGTAAAGCTATTCCAAGAAACGTTAATACCCTAATTCAATGATTACCTTGATTAACAATGATCAATCTTGCACTGACATGTAAATTGGCTAGCAAATTCAAAATGTTTTATGTTTTAATTAACTCAGTTTTAATCGGGTCTACGATATTATTTCATTAGAATCAAAGAAACTAAATATCACGTTCATAAAAGTCTTCTATGCTTTAATTTGGTTTTTGCAAATGGGTCATATATTCAGGCAAACTTCCAGACATGTAGCAGGAACTGAATAATTAACCATTCTTTTCATATATTTCATTTACAATGATGTTTAGTCTGGCTTGGTTTCCAAAACTTCATCTCCAGTTAAATTCAGCAGCAATAGCATGGGCAACTATGATTAGTGCTAACACTGCTCTGCTTCTAGAAAGCTTCTGCTATAAATGTCAGCGCCTTCTATTCATCATACTATGTTAAAAAGTCAAAATTAAACTGGCAAAGGTGAAGAGAAATATAATAAAAATTAAAGTAGCCTGGTTTTAAATCAATTCTAACAAAACAGACAACAAAGGATGCAACAATTTCAT